GTTTTGAAAGAGATATGCGATTAATTTTAACCCTAATAAAAACATTTAAGTAAATGTTTAAAAATACTGATGTACACTGAAAACAAACACGATTTATTTATTTGTTCACTTTTTGTAAAAAAAATAGATATTTTAAATTCAAGAATTTTACACACGCCTAGGCGCGCTCACGCTCATTCCATTACTGGTTACGTCACAACGATTTCAATGCTGTGATTGGCTGAACGCACGCTCATTTCACAAATACGGACGGGGACGGACGTAAATTTATCTTTTTGAACTATGACTATAAGATCGAAGCGAATACTATAATTACATTACATTACCACAGCGATCAGCGCTACTACAGGAGCAAATACCGATAAACCATGCCTGTTGTTACCGTATATATATGGGGAAAGTCATCTCCCGCTGTTGTGGGATTAATCTAAGGAAAAGTGATTGGAAGGTTGAGACGAAAAACACTGAAAAATCTGGAAAGAACTGCAGGAACATACGAATGTAGGAAAGCAGCAGACATGCGCACGCCAGCCATCACGGAACGACTATGGATTTCCATTGTTGGATTTTACACCAATTCACTTTTCATGTGAAGCTCGATTCTCAATACTCATCATATATAACCACAAGTACTATAAATAATAATATAACCTGTCTTTAATGTGACACCACGTGCATGTCCAAATATTTTTTGCTCCATGCAGTTGTAGAAATTAGCTGAAAAGCATTTAATTTCTTTTAGGATGGGAATTTGAAGAGAATATCCACTTATTAACCCTACAACCATAGATATAGGAGATCTAGATTGCTAACGCATACCTAGCGCAGGCGGGGCCTACATGATTAATCCAAGATGGCGGTACAACAGGGCAAAAAGACTATAGATTCTATTACGAAAATCAAGATTTTTGCATTTTTTGCCGTCGCATTGTTTCGAAACTTATTTGGTCAAATTTTATGGTAAAGAGAAACTTACCGCGAAGATTTTGAGCATACATATGATTGAATTGGATGAAAACTCGCAAAATTATCCATCGATAAAAGTTCGTGTATAGTACTGATATAGTACTATATATGTAACTTGTACAGTTTTGCTTTAATTTTTGCTCACTATTTGCATAAAAAGCAAATTATAACAGACCATAGATGATAGACCCTCATCCAGTGCTCTCATCAGTTTACTTCTCTAACAAGCAAGGGGGGGGGGGTACATAACAGTTCATTTTTCACAATTATGAGGACAGAGCAGATGATGATGAGAGATGCAAGTATAAAACACCATTCACGAGGCTAGATGTTAACATAGCACAGTATTTCTGGCAATAAAACGCTCCAACTGACCATTTCACACGAACTTTTATCGCTGGATAATTTTGCGATTTTTCATCCAATTCAATCATATATATGCTCAAAATCTTCGCGATAAGTTTCTCTTTACCATAAAATTTGATCGAATAAGTTTCGAAAGTCGAAACAATGCGACGGCAAAAAATGCAAAAATCCTGATTTTCGTAATAGAATCTATAGTCTTTTTGCCCTGTTGTACCGCCATCTTGGATTTATCATGTAGGGGGCGCCTGCGCTAGGTATGCGTTAGCAATCTACAATCTTGGAAAAAATATTTGTAGACTTTTCGAAAAATACACCCAAATTTGAAAACATATGATGAAAATGTGAGCATTTTTCAATTAAAGCAACTATTTACTTTAAATTAACCCCCCCCCCCCCCCCCGAAACAATGTTGGTTCAGGTAAAGTGGATTTGCAACACATGTCACCTAAATACCAACATTGTATAAGGGGGGAGGGGGATAAAGTTTGAAAATTTAAGAAGTCTACTAATTTTTTTCCAGGATTGTCTCTGAATTAAGCCAAACCCTTAACCTTTAAGGGATAGAAATTAAATTTTTTGGACATATAAAATTTTCTATTCTATTATGTTGTTATGAAAGTCAAGTGGCACATATGTCAGTAGAAACAGACTCCCAAAACAATTTTCGGGGGGGGGGAGACTTCCCATGGTAGGATTATAGGAAATAGGCGTATATTACCGCCCACAGCTCGGGTTATCCTTGCAATTTCGTTGAATTTGGACACGATTATAAATGTTTTTGCACTTTTGAATGTATGGTAAATTTAATATTAGCTTCAACTTAGAATCCTGTAGGTTTAACACCCTTTTCAAAATGTTTTACTTAGTATTTGCTCCGGAAAATAAGCGAATTTACTTCGGCATGGCAAAACATGTACTGACAAAAGGTCAACAAGTGTCCGGTGTCATATCATGCTGGGATTGCGGTGCCCGTGCCATTTTTGGCACCGCATTATATTCTGCCTGTGAGTTTGTTAGTTTGTTAGTTTGTCCGTTTGTTTGTTTGTTTGTTAGTTTGTTCGCATCAATACGTTTCCTTAATCGCCTACCAAAAATTCCTTGCACGTGCTCGGAATTTATTAATTATTATTAATCGTGTACACTCATGATGATCGACAAGTTTGCTCAGCTTTATCTCTGGTTTTATGCGTCAAACAAGGACAAAAATACCACAGTTCGCATCAGCGTGTAAAGTTGTGTTTACGGATGGAAAATTGATTTCAAAATTGACTTCTATTCTAGGTATTTGTCGCCTTTGAAAGACAAAAGCCGCTCAAAATAATCCTTCACGTTTTCCAAATTCCTTTTTTCGAGGAAAGTTTTCTTTGGAATTACAACTCGAACTCTCACGATTGACATTTTGCTGCGTCTTATCTCTGGTTTTATGCGCCCAATAAGGACAAAAATACCACCGTTCGATTCAGTGTAAGAAATTATACTCACAGATGTCAAATGTATTACTAAACTACAGTATTCTAGCGATTTATGGCCTTTGAAAGACAAGCGAAATTGTATTGTTCACAAATCGCTCAAAATTATTAAACATAATTAAAAGTGCAATACATTTGACCTTGATAACTTTCGTATTGTTGGTTTTCTCTTTTTCGGCCGTATACCAGTGGATTCGTCTCACTTTTCTCTTTATTTTGTTAGTAGTTTGAGCCCAAAATATTATATTTTGAAGCTTTTAATGTGCAGTTTTAATAAGCGAAATTGTATTGTTTACAAATCGCTCAAAATTACTAAACTAATTAAAAATGCAGTCCGTTTGATCCTTGATAACTTCGGAATTGTTGGGTTTTCTCGTTTTCGGCCGTATGCCAGTCGATTCGTCTCACTTTTCTCTTCATTTTGATAGTATTTTGAGCCCAAAATATTTTATTTTGAAGGCTTTAAAACGCAGTTTCGACCCTAACGTACGGACCAACTGGCGGCCGACAGGAGAATGTAGCGTGCTAAATATTAAACTAGGGTACCTGCAAGGTAGGGATTGCTGCGGGCATCAAAAGCAAATAGAACCACAGTAAAGAGCGCAAATTATATCAAGCACAGTGATTACTCGCAGCGACTAGTGAGCTGTGAATGGAACTGAAAAGAAGGACAAGAAGCAATATATATTGAAGTAGCAAAGATTGAAGTAGCAAAGACCAGGGGTTAAAGGGCAATCAGAGGTGACAGATATTAAACATGTGCGATTTCATATCAAGTCTGTCAAGTCATATCTGCTAGGTGCATTTACCACATTATATAGACTATATACACAGATTTATCACACTAAGAAACCAAAACTTTATAAAAAATATAGAACTGACAGTGGCCAAAGTCCAAAACAAATGTAAGCGTAACATTAGACGTCACATGAAAAAGCTTTAGAAATTCGATAAAAATTCGATGGTGGGTCCTCGCAGACCTCGCGCGCTCACTTTTCCCTCACTAGAAACTTCATGTATTAGCCAACAGGAGAAATCTAGGGGCCCCATCTAGCGTATTATTTTATATAAGTTTACTTGTAGGCGAAACGCCAGAAATGTTTTTTTGCAGGGCACCGCATTTTAGTACTGTGTCTGGTTTCATAATACAATCGCGCGATAAAAACATGCGTTTTTTCCCTTAAATCTCTCGTTTCTCGCTTTATATATAACATTTCTAAGATGTACGCACAGTTTTGTACACCTTAGACATTGTGCTATCTAGTGTTGTGGACACTTGTTTTGGAAGATATAAAAAGTGAGTGTCACTTTTGCCTCAAAGTTGCGTGACTTGTATAATTTACTATATACAATTTCACGAAATAGGCCAGCGCTCCGTGTTTAAAGCGTCATAACACCGTTTTGCCATGCGCAATGTTAAAATGTACGCGTAGATTAAAAAAGACTGGACCTTTGCGGTCATTTTGGTGGGAAAATTGTAAATTTTGGAGCAATTCCGGCGGCGTCATTTCGAGGTTGAAAATTTTGTACGTGTACAATTATGATCGCGAGTTCGCCGGCCATTCATTTGGCATTGCATGCTCGTGGTATTTGTTTTTAATCGCGTATTGTCTGTTGTTGATGCTACGAACGATGAAATATATGAATAAGAAAGCCATCAGCAGTTATCGGGAATCGAGATTTCGAAAATTCGTTTATCGGTTGGTTGTGTCTTAAATTATGTTAGGATTAATTTATTAATTTAAGGTTTTCAGTTCTCTATGCACATTTTCAACGATTATAGGTTTGAACAAATCTCAATCTTCACATGTTACATCATGTTACATCATGTTACACTACATGTTACACTAAAATTACTATACTTTACTATAGTTCTTGACATGTTACTACATATTACACCTATATTTTTAAAAGGAACTATAGATATTTTTAAAGGTAGGTGTAACATGTGAGGATATATAATAAAATATAGAACTTTTAGTGTAACATGTACTGTAACATGTGGTGTAACATGGTGTAACATGTAGTGATTTTACTCAGACAGTACGTTTATTAAATAATAATAAGATATTCGTTAAGACAAGCACCAATTTTGAGATAATCACGGGTACATGCGCTATAAAAGCATATTGAAACCGTATTAAAACATACTTTATAGGTACAATTCCGCACTATAAAATTTTAATGATCGACAAAATATGTGAAAAAATGTGACGGTCATGAAATATTGTACAATGTAATAATCTATATATGCCATATCTGTCCCTCTGATAGTTTTTTGTTATTAACTGCCATATTTTTTTGTCAATGCAGCCTTATTGGATAAATTAATCACAATTTTCTTAAAACATGGGCACCTACATTAAGCCGCCCCCCGTCTGTCGACCCCCCTGGCTTTCAAAATGTTTAATCAAACCCTGAATTATGTTCCTAATATAGAGTCCTTTTTAATTGAAAATTATATTTTGAAAACGACTGAACAATTAACTTGGTAAAATGATTATCCGTTGTATTTTTTTCAGACTGTAGATCTCCTATATCTATGCCTACAACTAATGAAACTCGTGTCCAGTCTTTTGCGCAATTTATACGCTGTTGTAAATTTTTGATTGCGCTTGTTTGTATGTCCGTTATAAATACAAAAATTGCCGGACGAAAATTGTACGGAGCGCTTGTGTTATGTTTCCATTTGATCGGGTTATATGGCAATCTTATCTCTCTGGCCTGAATTGACTATACGAGCAATACATACATGAAGACATTTTTGTTTACCATTTCAAAGATTTATCAAGGCCACGAGCTTTTAAACGCTCATTCTAGGAGGAAGCACTAGCAGCGCTTCTAATTCATGGCGTTATTGGCGGTTTGACAACACCGAATCAGGGCCGTAGCTTCTATATAACTTGCGCCTGAATCATGAACATAGACGCGATAATTTGAATTTACATTTATATATTCATGTCCACATACTGTAAAAACAATCGCTTTCAAAAGAAATCCGTCAGGCAGGACACGAATATATGAAATGCACCGCGACCCCCAATTATCGATTTAGCTACAGCCCTGCACCAAAGTAACCCAATGTGTCTGACCCAATGTGTAACCCAGGACTGGCTTTTTCCGATTTGATTTATCGTTCAGTTTAAGGCAGCACTCCTTGCGATATTCACATTCCTGTGATTTCGCAATCGCTCCCTTCAACATAAAAGTATATAATCGTAATTTCCTTTATTAGAAGGCCAACCTGAAGGAGCCATCATCGAGGAAACGTGGTACAAGAAAGCAGAAAGGAAATGCAGGACGTGCAGGGCAAACTGAAGAAGAGGACCCAACTGAATGGAGAGGGGTGTTAAGCATGGTGGAAGTATCAGACATTAAGTTCCTCTTTAAGAAGGTTTCATCGTTGAGTGTGATTCAAGCATTTTGCCGGTAAAGACAAAGAAATAAAAATGGAGACTACTGTACTGTCTGTAGCCATGGTGCAGTGGGGTGGTCGACTAGGCTGGTTGAATAAGACGTTAGAAAAATAGTATACTTAGACGAATGTGCCACCTTCCAACCCATAGAAAAGTCAGTTTTATCGAAGCAATAAGCGTCCATATTGGTGACGAAAAGAACCGGACAGTACAGTATTAATGAAGAGAATTAAGTTCAGGGCCGTACGCAGGATTTTTTCACCAGGGGGTAGTAAGGCCTATATGCCGAAAAAAGTCCCAAATATCCAAAGAACAATTAATAATGACATTCTAAAAATCGTAAATATAGTTTTCTCTGGGGGGCAGTTGCCACCCTTGCCCCTCCCCCTCTGTGTACGGCCCTGATTAAGCTAAGTTCGTCTTGTCTGAAATAAAAAAAGATATCAGCAGTCTTGTTGGAAGGTTTTTCAATCATTTTTTATTCCCATTGAGTTCACTTGTATATTGTCCTTTGTGTTTATATTCTTTCCTAATCTCGGTTTGCGTTGGTTTGCATGTGAAGTCATGATCAGTTAGTCCAGGTGTCATTCCAATTACCAAATTCTAAGTAGCAAACGTATAATAAACAGAAGTTCCCAAACGGCTTTATAAAGTTTAAGACAGTTTAATGAAGGCCACGGGCGTTTAAGTATACTCATTTCAGGGGAAAGAAAGCAGTACCCCATACGATACAAGCTGAAAAAGATATCGGTTTCGTACACGGCGCTATAAAACACGGGCGCGGAAACGGCAATGACGCCCCTGATCTATGTATGTATGTAAAACTTTATTTCAATACGCTAACTTCGACAATTATTTACAACTGGTTTCCACGAAGGGCGTATGCACACAAAGAGCTAAATGTTAATTATATATAGAACAAAATATGTAAGAATCCCACCCTAAAATTTTATCATCTTCCTCCCAAACCTCCACCCCCTAAACAAGTACCCACCCACCCTCACGCAAAACTAACCCCCTCCCGCCCACAATCTATATTGTCCTCCCATCATTTGGTCCTGGAGAAATTAGCTTATCATCTGCTTAAATGCAATTTCGCCATTGTTTTAAATGACGTAATTGACTCAGCCGCCTTGACATCTTGCGGGAGACTTTTCCATAGAATTGCTCCACTGTATCCAAATGTTTTCTTTAGAAATTCCGTTTTCGGTTTTTTAACGAGAGATCAGTTTCGCTATTGCGTAAATCATAAATATTCTGCGATGCATTTCTCCGAGAAAAAAGATCTTTAAGGTTTGGCGCAGTGTGGTTCCCCAAGACTTTATACATCAATACTAGCTTGTTTTGTTCTCGTCTCCTAGCCAGGGTTTCCCAGCCTAATTTGTTTAGGACTTCAGACGATCTTACATCGTAGTCAGCTCCGGTAATCACCCTTGCTGCTCGATTTTGGAATTTTTGCAATTTGTCTTGAAGTCCCAAACCACAGTTATCCCACAGGGGAGAACAGTAATCAAAATGAGGCTGAATTAATGTTTTGTAGACATCATGTAAGGTTTTGTGTGGAACATAAGGTTTTATTCTTTTAATTGCTCCTATTCCAGCGCTAATCTTATGGCATACAGAATCAATATGTTTCTCCCAACTTAATTTTTCATCTAGATTTACACCTAGACATTGAAATGTATTGGTTTGTGGGACTGGGATTTTGTTAATCTCAACGGGTCTATTTCCTATTTTATTATTTAGATTATGCGTAGATCCAATAAACATGACTTTTGTTTTTTTCCTATGATATTTTAGTTTGTTTTTAGCAAGCCATTTATGAATACTGGAAAGGTCCATATTCAAATTGTCAATCAATGTATCGTAATCATGCGAAGAGGAAGATATCTGAGTGTCGTCGGCATAAAGACATGGGGTTGTCCTTTCTAAAATGTCAGGCATATCATTAATATATAGCAAAAACAATAATGGACCAAGTATGGATCCTTGCGGAATTCCGCATATTATTGTTCTTGCAGAAGAAGTTTGATCATTAACAGAACACACTTGCTTTCTATTCCTTAAGTATGATTGGAACCATTTTAATTCAATGTCGTGAATTCCAAACTGGGTTTTAAGCTTCTCCAATAATATCTCGTGATTCACCGAGTCAAATGCTTTACATATATCAAGAAAAACAACTCCATTTATTTTGCCTTCATCCATGTCTTGTAGCCATTGATCACATATTTGTATAAGAGCACCTAAGGTTCCATGTTTTGGTCTAAACCCGGATTGAAATTTAGACAGAAGCGCATGCTTATTCAAAAAGCTATATATTTGAGTAAAAACTTCCCCTTCAAATATTTTACTTATTATGGGAAGAATTGAAATTGGTCTATAATTTTCGCATTTACGCTTATCCTCAGATTTGTAAATTGGTATAACTCTAGCTAATTTCCACTCATCTATATAAATACCAGTTCTAATCGATAGGTTAAATATAAAAGTTATAGATGGAGCAATAAGGGTTGATGTCAGTTTTAAAATATTCGCACGTATTCCATCCATACCTGTCGCTTTTGAGACATTTAGTTTTTGTAGGCGTTTGGAAACACTATCTATAGTAATATCTGCGAAGTGAAAATTTTCTTTAGGAAGAAGCGCAGTACTTTCATAAATTACTTGATCATTTAAAGCATCAGTGCTTTGACATGCTGATTCAGCAGCCATCTTCATTCCAATATTTATAAAATATTCATTTAATGTTTCAGTAATAGATTTATCATCAGAAATAATATCATCATTTACTTTCAGTTCATTAATATTTGCATTCTTATGCTTTCTTCCTAAGAGCAAATTTATCCAAGCCCATCCGCTTTTACTGTCTCCCATTTGAGAGCTTGCCTGGATTTTATCACAAAAGTACTTAGATTTTGCTTTCCGCATGTTTATATTTACTTCATTACGTAGTGTTTTATACAATTCCCACTGTGACTCCGAATCATATTTTATGGCCTTTTTTTTGTGATAGTCCCTTTTTCTCATAAGTTCTTTAATTTGAGGATTAATCCATGGGACAGGGTTATTCCTTATTCGCTTGTGGCGCAGAGGGGCATGTCTATTAAGTGCATCTAATAATAGTGATTTCCAGACTTGCCAACATAAATTGGGATCTCCAAACTGATAGACCATCTCCCAAGGCAATTGAGACACATCCCGAATGAAATAATTTTCGACAAAGTTTTTAAAGTTACGAACCTGACGAATTTTTTGCCTTCCTTTCGGTAGTGTAAATTTTCTCACAGCGTAGACAAGGCTGTGATCTGAAATTCCCAGGTGAATGACACCTGATCTGGAAATATTTTCTGGTCTATTTGTTAATATTAAATCAATTAGTGTAGCTGATTTAGGAGTTAGCCTTGTAGATTCTTTAATAAGTTGGTCTATCTGATACAGAGAACATAAAAATTGCAACTTACATGTATGAGGGTCAGGTGTGTGATGCGCGGACCCCCTCCCCCGTAGGTTTTCGAATATTGGAAATTCTCATTCTAGTGATGGGAGATACCACCTTTTTTGGGTCCGATACGATACCAGTCCGATACCACGAGTTTAGGTCGATACCGATACCAAAATCGATACCGATACTCAATTTTTTCCATTTATTAAAATAACTTTTAGTTTTAAAACAAGAACATTAATATTAACATTAGGCTCATTAGCTACATGTTTTTGTTTAAAAACAGCATCATATCGACATTTTTAATTTGCCTTCAGCCTGTTTCGCCGAAGAGAGACAAGGTTACCTGCCTTAGAAAATAGTCTTTCAGATGGGACAGTTGTACCTGGAACACACAAATACTTCTTGGCAAGTTGAGAGCGCAGATTAAAACGCTTTTCATGTATCTTCCACCAGGTCAAAGGATCAAAAACATTGCAGGCTCACGTAGTATCGAATTACCGATACTTTTTGCGAGTATCGAGAGTATCGATACTTTTGTGTAAGTATCGATGATTTCGATACTTTATCGATAGTATCGCCCATCACTATCTCATTCGAATATCAACATTTGAAACATACCTAATTTTAAGAATTTTTTATCACTGCACATTTTTGTGCAAAGTTTAGCCGAGCAGAAGCACGCCCTGAAAATATCTGAACACACCCTTATAATAATGTGTAACCACAAAACAGACTACAATTGATATTCAAAAATGCCAAAACCAACATACACTGCACAGCACCCAGGGTCGCCTAGGGAAATTAATTTAATTTGGGGGCCTAGGGCAAAATTTGACTGTAGGGACCGCTTGTGATTCCATCAGTAGTTCTAACACTATGATTAAAGGGATCCGGGGGAATTCTCCCCAGGAAAATTTTGAAATCTCATGTCCCAGAAATGGCCAAATCCTGCATTCTGGAAGTCTAGAATTGACAGTTATATTTATGTATATTTCACTGTAATTCTTTATTTGGGCCCCCTTTATTTGGGCCCCCAGGGCAAATTGCACCCCTCTGGGCGGGCTTGACAGAACCTGCAGTTACGAATATCTATGACATCATGTTTCATAATCACATGCTTGTAGAAAAGAAATATTTTCGCTTTGGCAAATGAAAGATGGCTTAGGCGTGACAAACCTCTGGATGAGTCCCAGGGGCGTATACCCACAGAAAATCAGTTTCTAATCTAGGCTTTCTAAAAAGGCATTTCCTGCAATGTGCTGGAACATTCAATCATATAGAAGAGGTTTTTTCACTCCATCTTCCTAGCTCATAAAGAGATTTCTGGTGAGAGAATTTGTTCATTTGATGAACCTTAATTAAGTATAATATTAGTGCGGACATTCGATAATTTCAAATTATTCTCATCCAAAATGTTTTGATTAATACTGCCAAGTGTCATCAAGTGTCAAGACGAATTTTTAGTTCAGTTTCTCTGCTCATTGCCTCATTTTCTTTCAATTAATAACTAATTATCACAGCAAATTTTATCACTGCACATTTTACAATTTATCACTGCACATTTTACTTTTATCACTGCACAAATTTGTTATCACTGCACACTAAAATTAGGTATGGTTTGAAAAGAAAGACACGCTCAAGTAGATTAATGCATGTCTCCACTTTCCCACTCGCCCCAGGTTAATTCGCGCGTGCACGACAATTCTGCGACTTTTTTTGCGGTTGTTGTATTACGTCACAGTTTAATGATATACAGTTGTGTAACTCGCGGCCCTCTGTCGCGGCCGTCAGTATTGATTATGACGTCCCCAAGAATCGAATGCTCGCGTCATTTTTGTCGCGTCACGAAATCGCGAAAGACCGTGTCGCTTGCAGATTTCAATACAAAAACATAAGGGAAACACTAATTTTACAAAGTTGGTGTACCTGATGGACGTTTTGGGGTTAAAATTTTGCAAACCAATGGTAAGTGTTTTATATAACATTTATTGTTGTTTCATATCAAATTTCTTTCGTTAGAAATTGCAAATCAAATAACCCAGTGTAAATACCACGAGGCTCGGAGGCTGTCATAGCTGCAGCATAAAATTTCGAAACTGATATTATCAACTAAACATGTAAATGTCTAACAAACTCATGGTTTGGATATGTAAATCATTCTCCATTTTAAGGTTAACATGTATAAAAACTGCCTATAGTAATATAAATGTTCAAATCTTAATACAGTTCTGTCACTCAACGCAATCCAAGACAGTCTGCCAGTCAACAATATTGAAATATTAAATTCAACATAATTTTCATTCAGTTTTCATAGACCCTTCATAAGTGCTGAATCTTGATATACTTTCTGTTTTTTCTTCCTGTCTTTCTTGCTCTTAATTCTTGGTTGTTGAACTTTAAAATGTAATGCAAACGCATTTTCACAAATAACTCAATGAGGTACATGCTTGGGAAATAAGGACACTCTGATACACAAAACTTTGGCAATTTTGCAATTATGTGCTCTGCAATTTTTGATCTTTGGATATTACAACTAATTTCATCAACAACTTTGCTCTCTATTTTAGTGACATACTGAATAAATTCATCTTGAGGAACAGTCAGTCCTCCAAAGTCACTCTTGTTTCCATAAGCTTTAAAATAGCACAGTAGCTGGCTGCTGTTGGTCAGGCTGGTCATGGTAAGCTTCTGTGCACAAGTAAGGCATTTGTGTTTGCCCAGGCATTTTCGCAGTAGGTATCCTGCAACATACGTCAGTGCATTCATGGACATTAAATTCTTCTCAACTTCCTCACGCTTGTAGTCTTTCTCGTCGATTACAGGTCCTTTCTTGGTGTTCTTTTGAGTACCTGGACAAGGATCTGACAAGGCTGACAAGCTGGATTGGTCCTTCATGGTCACCAGAAATGTGTCTGAATCAGCAGAACAGTTGAATGATGGCAGTGGAGACAGGTAGTTGTCGAAGAAAAGTTTTCGAAAAGCTTTAGTAAATTGATGAGGTGTTGGATTGTCAGAATTGCCACCTTGCTGTCTGATGAGGCCAAAAAAATTTTCCAGAGGGTCTTGATTCAAACGCCTTGTCATCAGAAACTGCCTTGCATGGTTTTCTTGCAGATCGCTCCACAGAGCCAACACGCCATTGATTGTCGTTTGGAGACCTTTGAGGCATCGCAATTTGTTTGTAACATCTTCTTGATTAGATGGATTAACCACCTTTATGGATTTAACAAACTTTAGCATATGTTCCAAGAATTCTTGGTGTGGGGAATCTTTTGATATAGCTTGCTTGTATAGCTTTGTGCTAGAGAGTGATGAGCTGTTTAGACTGTCAAAAATATTGTCAAAGTTTGAAAGCAATTCAGCTGTTCCTGAAGCAACTGGTGGTAATGCACCAAGAGACACATATGTTAGAAGCGTTGATGCAACTGTATGGCTGAGGACTTGTGTGGCATACTTGACCTTCATTTTCTCAAAACCATTAGGATTTAAATGCCTTTGTGTGAGCTTGGGACAACAGCGTATGGGTTGTAGTTGATCTCTGTTGTACACTACTTGTATGTGATCCCAAGAAGCCAATTTTTCGTCAAAATGAAAGTTATATTTCATCAAGTTGTTTCGGACAGCTTTTATTATGTGTGGTGGATCAAATACATAGAAGATCTTTCTACCTTTGTGCCAAAACCATGGTTGTGTTGGTGTAATGCCAAGGCTTTTAATCATCTTTTGGAAATTGGAGCCCAAATCAGAAACAACAGTTGTAACATGGAGTCCAATTGATGTTACTTCATCAATCATGTCCAACAACTTAGCTTTGATCTTATCGCTGGGGCAGGATTCATGGACTAGAAGATATCCCAGGGGCTGCTTCCAGTTTTCATTTATACCACGGGCCATGAAGACTAGTGCAGATGTTGCAATGAGGCTGCTTCTCTCTCCCTTACCAAAATCTTCAACACCAATGACTTGATCTTTACCAGGATCATACAACAGGTTAGCCTTAAGGGCCATCTCATCCATTGTGATAGTGCACAACTTACTGGACTCGCTCATAATGTTGACTTTTCTGGCTAGAACTTCCTTTGCAGCTGGGGTCAGTTCTGGAGCAGTTGGAAATGCAGCTACCCATTTCATCAGACTACTTTTGGATGGAAGCTTGAAGAATTTCGACAACAATTTGTACGCCTTTCCACTGATGTAATAAAGGGAAAGAGCGAATGATTTCATCTCAGGACTGTATCGTTGCCCTTTATTCTTTTTCTTGTGCAAGTCTATCTGGAGTGAGATGAATGTTACAATATTTTCTGGTAGCATGGTCTGAAGAGCCTCTAATATGGTATGCTTATCTATGTTGTTGCTTTTCTTCTTTTTCATATTTAAAGCTTTACGGAGTCGTTGTATTCTTTTCTTCTGCCGAGCATAAACCTTGTTCACTTTTTTCTGCTTAGCATAATTAGATGTTTTACTAGTACCACCTGTAATTGATAAAAGAAATAGTGTTAATACTATTAGCCTGACTAAAAATTATAAAGTACAGTAAATGACCTTAACGAAGCTTAACCTTGATTAGTAGGTTCAACAGGATTGTGTTGTGTTCCAGAGTCAATTTGCATTGGTCTTGAGGATGGACCTAAGAAAGGACCTAAATATTAGTGGGACATTGATTAATTCATTTTTAAAGCTGTTCAGAAATCTAATTGGTTAAAATATTTTTTGCAGGAGATCCTTTGAAGAAGAGGTCTTGGTGTCATACCTGTAACTTCATCATCATCATTAACTGAATTTGAAGACTCTGTACTTGAATCATTTAAAGGAATGTTGATGTTCACAGTGGGAGTACTAGTTGATGGAACTGTATGGGTGCTCAGCCCAGAGTCTGAAAATAACATTTATATACCTTTTTCTGTAATAACTGCAGATTCATGTATGTATACAGCCCTCGAAAACCGTCAAAATTGAGGTCAGCAAAAAATGCAGACCTAAATCTAATCTACTGTAGGTCGGCACGTCTCGGCATTTTTTAAAATCTGTTTCCATGTCTTGTAGCACTAGTAATCATGTATTCGCGAATATTGAAATCAGAATATAAAGCATGCCTTTTTCTGCGGAAACACAAACTATAGTAACACGACGACTTTTCTTTTGGAATCTTACCTAAATTATATATAGAATACCCGTCAATTTTTAAACCTGACACCGAAGTGTGTTCAGTTCGAACTATGAATCGAATTCTATATTTCAATGACTTTTTAACAGCAATCGGCACCAACAAATTTTTACTTTGGCTGAATTAAGGTCGGCAAAAATTTGCCAACCTGGGAAGTTGATAGGTGGCAATGCCGACCTCGTTCTCGAGGGCTGTGTATAATATAGCTGACTATGTTTAAGCAATGTAATTTTGAAGTTGCTTACAGCTATATAGTGCTACTAGTGCTATATCCCTACTAGGGGTGCACCACAGTCCAGAACTCAGTTCCGGTCAGAACCCCGATTTTTCATATTTCCAGTTCCGGCTGGAACTAATAAAAAGACATTGCCGGAACTGGAACTCTGTTATTTTCAGAGAGATAGAATATCGAACATTCGAATATCGAACAGCCTAACAAAAGTTCGCAGTAAAGAGAAATTTGGACTACACAAGGAAAATATATACCGTTAACACTTCATTATGATGTTTAACGTTTGTCAGTCTTTTTATTCTAACATTTGCTAGCTCTCTCCTTGATCAGTTGAAGTGCCTGGCTGTCTGGCAGCAGACAAAGTAACATATGACTATATGTGGCTTGATTAATCCAGTTCCAGCCAGATCCGGCCGAAACTTAAAAAATTGGTTCCGGTGCACCCCTAATTCCTACCCCCTCCCACCCCACCCCTTGTCTATTACAGTATATGTAAGTAGAGGGGGGTACCGAATAGGTACTGTATGTCCTTGACATGCCTGGCCTTGCCCAGCCATAGTAATATCACTACATGCAGTTTATTTATAGTGTGTTTCTTCATTACCTGTATCAAAATAGTCTATGTCTGTAACTTCATGTATGAATTGTTGTGCAGGTACAGGTTTTAATCCACAATCTAAAAACTCAGGTTATGTTAGTAATTTTACTGTGGTTTCATTTCTGCTGACAAAAAATTCAATTTATGCAGTTATTTCAAGATCATTGGAATATACTTTGCAAGCACCTTTACGTAGCTGTTGTTCGTTGGATTTGTCAATTACTTTGCCAATTTTCCTTTTTTCTAGGAAATCAAATGTAAAAGTATTCAATGATTCGCAAAGTATATATTACTGTAGTTTGTAAATAGTGCAAATTAATTTTTCTGTAAAGTCAGTGTGTCGCCATTACAGTAAAAATTAATATTAAATCCGTATTTGATGATACAATACAAAGCGAAAGATTGTTTTTGTTACTCTTTGAACATTATTTTGCCTAATTTTTGTTTAGTTAAGTTTTTTGTGAAAAATTTAAATCATGTTTGCTTTATTTTCCTTACTATGTTTTTCTGGCGGCTCTTCCCGGACAAGTAGCCTTCGCTTTGCACCAACTTTTGGCGGTGGATTTGGGATATTAAAAAGGGTAGGAAACGCTTCACTTTTCAATCTTTTTTTGCTGGCAAACATTTCTTCCTCGAAATGGTCGCCACATATTTTAAGATTGCATAGAGATCCTGGGTCCCTTTTTATTAAGTCATTTCTTCTGCAGTTTACGGCCCATCTTTTGGATCTATATTGTATGAATTCAGATAAAAATGTGCATGTTACTACAGTAAATTGTGTAAAAACCTTCTCGTACAAGATAATTAAAAATCACCTGCACTGCAGTTTAGCGTATCTTCACAGCCTTAGCGTGTCTCAACTGCTTATATCTTTTGGGAAGCGGAAAAACGATAAATCTGGATTTTTTCTTTTGTTATTCTTACAATTTGGTGCCGTGCACCAAGTCGTCCCACTTTTCCGTTTTCTAGCTGAACAATCCCGTTTTTCCGCCATTGTACTGTACAATGTTCACTCTTTTTAAATGACTTTTAATCCATTTTAATAATATTTAGTTTTATTTAATAATATGACTGTAAATGTAAGTATTTTGTTTACTTTTGTAGCCTTTCGTACATATACCGCATAGGCGACAGAGCTAAATGTACACGCCACAAAAACTAAGTATATATTTATACACATTAAATACACATTTGTATGGAGCACATAATTTTTTAATACTTCAAATATAAGATAAATTTCACAACAAAACAGACCAGCCTACTTAATAGGCATTTAGTTTTCGTTAATATATTTTACTATTTAGTACGTAATTCTACCTAAATCATTATATGATTATATAGGATTGAAAAATAATATGATACTATAATATTAGACTCTCTACATTAAATTCTAAAAACTCATTTTGTTTTACTGTATATTGAAGAAAACCAAGCATACAACCTTTCCCATATAGTTGTCCTTTTAGAATGTTGTAAAGTCATTTGTTTTTAAAAATTTAAAAACATAATTCCTCTTCGTGGTTAAATTGATTTGTAATGGCTAAAATCTCCGCAGTCTATGTTCTTCGTGTCTGCAGGAACCGGCTTTAAACTTAAAAAAGACAAAGTATAAAAGAAATCAATTTTACATTGGTTTAAAATATAGCCCCCTAACCTAAGTCCAAACTGTTCTGCAACTTCCATGCCAAAAACCGAGGGGCAATAGGCCTTTCCCCTTATAGCACTAGGCGCGCTAAGCATGACGGTAGGAGTATGCAATTTGCTTTCGAACGAAATGGCTGCCGTATGAGCGATCGATTTCGTGCGAGAGAAGAATCGGCGGATTTTTAACAACATTAAGTGTCCATCAATGTCTGTTTTCTTCGCAAAATTACGAGGAGGTTTGTCACTACAAGTGGACGAAATTTCGTGGCGATCTGGGCGTTAATGGTGATAAAAAGCCGTTGAGAAGACGACAAGTTGTGAACATGCTTCGCGTAAATTTGCTCGCGAAAAATTGACCACACGAACTAAAACAGGTGAGTTCGCTTTTCAACTTGCGATCGGCTAATTTTTTTTACAAAATAAGCTTAACTGATAGGGTGTCTTATTTTATCTCTGGGACATTTTACTACAATACTTGTACAAAAGTCGTTTTAAGCTTCCTGAAATTGACATATGTCGTAACCATTTTGTTCAAATTTGCCATTGAAGTGCCGTTGCCTTGCCAAATGTTTTGAATTTGTTTTGGCGCGAAAATATACTGAATTTGAATGAGCAACACAAGCTATAGTGACAAAATATAAAGTTGAAAGTGTTTTTCTTGGTTTACTGCTGTTATTTGTCCTCTAGTTGAAGTTTGCTTTGGTTTTCATCCTCCATTGTAATTTAATAAATTGTTCGTGGGTTATAGAATAATATTTAGGTAAATAAATTTCAATTTTGGAACTTATAGCATAGGAAATAAACATTTAGATAGCATATTTTAGGTAAATTCATAAACATTTAGATAGGATATTTTAGGTAAATTCATTTAAATTCAGTTTAAAATTAAATAGATAAATATATTGTAAATTTTTGTAGTCAGAGTATAAATTAAAATGTCTAGGTGTATATAAATTTTTAATTAAACTATATAATATGGAGAGTGAACCAAGCACTTCGCATGAGACGAATAGTAGTGAATTACCAGTAACAATAAGATGGACAAGGGATTTACATGGCATTCCAGCATTTACATATGAGCTGTTAATCAAGCATTTGGGGACTGAAAATTCTGGTACAGGTGCTCAGAAACACAAGAAATTGGGTTATCAAATGTTCAAAGACAAATATGTTGGTCAAGTCCAGGTTAAACCAAATATCACTAAAGGGAACATGTCCTGCTTCTTAGTTAAAGGCACTGTTAATGCTGCAATGAAAAGCAACACATACACTGTTTATGTCCATTTAAATGAAGCAAATGGGGAGGTTGTGTATAGCAACTGTACGTGTATAGCAGGCAAAGGTGGTAAATGTAAACATGTTGTTGCTCTGCTCTTTCAAGTTATTGAATACAAACAATTAGACATGACCGAGATTCCAGATCACCCGACCTGTACACAGCTATTACAGCAATGGCACATACCGAGAAAAGATGAGTCAGATGAAGCTGTTCTTTATGAGAACATTGTGTTTGAAAAGGCTGTGTATGAGAAAGATGTTCAGGCTAAAAAGAGAAAACACAGACAGTCACTCCCCATATATAACCCTGCTCCACATTTTTCACAAACAGTACAGCAAAATGATGTTCAAAAGCTTGCCAATTCATTGACTGAAACAGATAAAA